GCACGTAGAGCCCTCTCTGCTGGCATGATCTGTCGCCCCAGGTCAGATCTCCATGGTGTTTCCTTCGTGAGCTTCTGCTTCCCTGCAAATGACAAAACAGACGCTCACGAAAGAAAAAGATCTCACCTCTTGCTGCGCTGCCGGTGTTGGGATGCCCTGCCTTCCACCGGCCAGCTGGTTTTCGGGTTGCTGCTGTGCACATGTCAGCACATACACACGTTCGTGCATGTCTGCACATGTGTGCTCACATGTGCGCACACATGTCCACACGTGTGCATTCGCACGCACATGCGTACATCTCCATTTGGGCATGTGCATGTGCGCAGTTTGGGCACATGTCTAAACGATTCACTATCACTGGTATAGGGCAGTGGTGGGTTGCAGAGGTGGGTTTCAGCAGGTTCTGACCAGTTCTGGAGAACCGGTAGCAGAAACTTAGAGTAGTTCGGAGAACCAGTAGTAAAAATTCTGACTGGCCCCGCCCCCATCTATTCTCTGCCTCCCGAGTCCCAGCTGATCGGGAAGAAATGGGGATTTTGCAGTAACCTTCCCCTGGATTGGGGAGGGAATGGAGATTTTACAGTATCCTTCCCCTGCCATGCCCATCAAGCCACGCCCACAGAACCGGTAGTAAAAAAATTTGAAACCCACCACTGGTGGGTTGCCCCCGGTTCGGACTGGTTCACAAGAACCGGTAGTAAAACTGGCAGGAGGCTCCGCCCACCGACCCGGACGTCATCATAGGGAGCGTGTCATCATAGTGCGCGCTCCCATTGCGAACCAGTAGTAAAGGTAAATAGAACCCACCCCTGGTATAGGGTCTTCTGGTGTTGGGCCCAGAAGACCTCCAAGGTTCCTTCCTTCCAACTCTTGTTATTGCATTATTCTGGAGAGTTCTGAGTCGAAGTGCACATATCTAAAGGCTTGCCAAGAAGTTGAGAAACACTGCTCCAGATGTTCCATCTTTGCTGGTTGCCTGAAGGTTCTCCAGAAAAATGCAAAACCATATGCACTTGAAAAGAAGTTGACCCTGAATTTGAGATGACTTTCCTTCTCCCCTAAGAAAACACACCGCCTTCCCCTTTTCCGTTACTGTATACTCCACAGTTTAAAAAGCTAGCCACCGCTTTCTAATTATCCCAGTTATCCGAGGAGAAAAATCTAATCCTCCTCCTGTTCAGCAAAAGGCTGGAATTGTACCTTCTTCCAACCTAAGAGTACTCTTTTCAAGGCCCTGCGTGTCCTTTCCCCTCTATTTTCCTGCTTTCCTGCCCCGGTTTTGCTCCGGCAGTGGGGGGCGGCTGTTCCGGTGGCTTGCCCCGAGCCCCCTTCCTGGGGTGCTGCATTGACCAATTGCAGACCAGGAGTGGAAAGGCAGGAAGACATCCCAGCTGTGGCTCCTTTGACCCTTGAACATCTGGTTGCACGCATCTGGTTTTGATCATGCCTGGGAATCTCTTTTCTCCCTCCCATGCCGAGAGGGTTTGACTCTGTCGAACTTGAAAGGGGTGTGTGTATGTGTGTGTGTGTTTGGGGAGAGAGGGAGGAAGAAGACCAGAAATGCTTTGGGCAGGGAGGAGAAAAGCCCCCACAAACCAGATAAAGATCTCTCTGACCAGATGTGAGATAAACAAGCAAGAAACAAAATGAAGCTCTGAAGGATTTGGGGTTAAGGGTTGGTTTAAGAAGACTGTTCCATCTCATGGGTCTTAGATAATGACAGCTTTGGGCAGCAGCTGTATTTCCCATCTTCGTCCCGGTCTCCCCTCCCCCCCAAAATACAGGCAGTACATTTACCCAGATAAAATGAATAATTTGGGATGAGTGAGAGGCCTGCCGTCTCTGGAGAACCTCTGTGTCCCACCTCAGGTTGACCAATGGAGATTGTGTGCTTATTCCAGTGCATGGAGATATTAGTTCCCAAGGAAATAACATGTTAATAATAGAGGTGTAATAATGTGTTGGGTACTTGACACATGTAACACCATTGCTTTGTGAGCTGTATTGGTTGCCAGTGTGTTTCCAGGTGCAATTCAAGGTGCTGGTTGATGGGTTGGGTAGAGTAGAGTAGAGTAGAGTAGAGTAGAGTAGAGTAGAGTAGAGTAGAGTAGAGTAGAGTAGAGTAGAGTAGAGTGAGTAGAGTAGAGTATATTGGTAGATGATGGATGGATGGATGGATGGATGGATGGATGGATGGATGGATAGATAGATAGATAGATAGATAGATAGATAGATAGATAGATAGATAGATACATACTGTAGATGGATGGATGGATGGATGGACGGACAGATGGACGGACAGACAGGCAGGCAGACAGACAGACAGATATTGTAGATAGATACTGTAGATAAATAGATAGATAGATAGATAGATAGATAGATAGATAGATAGATAGATAGATAGATAGATAGATAATAGAAGATAGATAGATAGATAGAGTTCTGACCTAGGCTTACTGAGCCATTACAATACATAATTAATCCCAAACAAACCTATTTTATTGTAACAGCTGAGAATTATGTTCATTCCCAGCTGAGTCCTAATTAGTAGCAAAACAAGTCCTTCGGAAGAAGTCCTTCGGGATAATCACTAACTTTATCTTCTTTGACACCCTGCCAAAGGCCTTACTTGGCAAAGCCCCACAAAGTTCAGAAACAAACAAGAGACGCTGACTGGAAACAGAGTTAGCAACGTTGCTTTCCTGCAAAAAGGCCCAAGTGCCTCTGTTTCTCTTTTAAGCCTTATGGGAGGGGCCAATCATCTCCTGGCCTTACTCCTGAATCGTCCCTTTTGCTTTAGCTGCTCTTGCCTTCTGGCAGCTCTGCGCATGCATGCACTAAGAACAGGCTCCTCCTATTCCTCTGCTTCTTTCCTGTCCGACTCTGGGGGCTCGGGAGTCCATGCATCACTCCCAGATGGCCCTGGCCCCATCTCTGCCTCCGACGCAGAGCCCTCATCCGGGCCTTCCCCAGACTCCAGGACTGGCCCATGTTCCTCCCCAGCCTCCTCACTGTCCGACTCCGCTGCCAGCTCCGCAAGCTGCTGGTGGACCAAAACAGATAGATAGGTAGGTAGATTTGGGAAATACAGTACATGTCAGCCAAGGATCTCAGATAGCCCATTCCTTTAATGAATCAGAACTATAATGTGCACCTATCTATATACATAAGCAAATGTCAACATGAAGATTGTTTGAGATGTTCATCTATTTTTGGTTGTTTCCTCTCCTCGCCTTTGGTATCCATCCTACTATGCTCTAGCTCTTGTGCCCCTGTGCAGCCCAAACACTCTCTCTCTCTCTTTTTTTTAATTTATCAAAAGTTTTCCTTCATCCCTTTGCTTTTGCAAGAGAATGTAGAAATCTCCCTTCTATCCAAACCTAGTTAGAAGGCCTCCAGCAACTACATCTCGACCAGCTGAGGCCAAAGGTGAGAAGGTCCTATGTCCTGGAGGAGAAAGATCTAAGAGATGCAAGAAAGGAGCCACTGTTTTATTAGACACCGTCTTCTCCTTTTTTTTTTTTTTTTAGCCTGCCATGGGCAACGGTTTGCTGTCAGTCAGAAGGAGAAGAGGCTTTGATGAGGACCTTCTCTGCTTGACAGCTCTGTGTCTAGAAGACCCCAGTGGGCCATCAGTGTTCATGGATGGGGGGGGGGGAAAAAGCAACTTTTGTATTCTGAGAAGGAGCTCCAGGCTACCTAGGGCTTGGTTTCATTTGAAGAGCAGACATTCTCATTTTGACTTGACTTATCCTACAGTTCTTCCTCTTGAAGATATACTAGGTGGTCTACCGATCAAGCAATCTCCTATAAAGCAATTGAATAAAACCATTTTATATATTAATGAAGCCATTAATTGCAAATTACAGCTGTGTGTGTATGTCAGTGGTGGATTCCTCCTGGTTCGGCCCGGTTCGGTCGAGTCGGTAGCGGTGACGATATGTCACCGAACTGGTTCTGCCCCCTCACACCACCCCCACATTATTCTTACCTTTTATTTGGCCCCACTCCCAATCTATTACTGCCTTCTGAGTCCCAGCTGATGGCTAGAGGGAAAAAAACTGTTTAAACTATTGCCGGGACTTCAAAGGGCTGCCCTACAGCTGATCAATGTTAAAAGAAAACAAATGAGTAGATCAGTGCCTGCAAAAATAAATGGGTAGATCTGTACAGCTCTGCAAGCAGTTAAAAGCCTGGTAGACCAGTACCTCTGCTAAATCCTAAATAATTGTCACATGACCATCAAGCCATGCCCACAAAATAAGCCACGCCCACAGAACCGATAGTAAAAAATTTAGAACCCACCTCTGATGTATGTATATGTATTGTGTGTGTGTGTGTATTAATTTGTCTGAAATTGTATAGGGAAGTGATGGCTAACCTTTTTGGAAGCCCTCCAGAGGGCCCCCCCCAGTGGGCCCAGAAGGCCCGAAAATCAGCTGGCCAGCACACACATGCACACTGCAGCTGAGCTAGGGCAATGCTCTCGTGCCTACAAATATGGCTCCGCGTCCACCTGTGTCACGTGGCTCCGGAGAACTTCCCATAGGCATGTTTTTCACCCTCCCTGAGCCTCTGGGCGTGCCCTGCACTTAGGTGCATCCAAAACAGGCTGTGTGGGGACTCCTGAGAGGGGAGGGGAGGGGAGGGGTGGGGTGGATGGGGCCAGCCAAGAGTGGGATTTGGGGGTTGTCCGACCTGCACAGAATGTTAGCTAGAGGTTCTCCTGAACCCCTGCGAACCCCCAGTCATGCCGGCCACGTGACCATGGAGATGTCTTTGGACAGCGCTGGCTCTTCGGCTTTGAAACGGAGATGAGCACCGCCCTCTAGAGTCAGGAACAACTAGCACATATGTGTGAGGGGAACCTTTACCTTTTTAAGCAATCATCGTCCCTATATTGAATATGCAAGAGTTCTTTAAGAGTTAAGAGTTCGTTAATCCGCTACTTAACAGAGTTTGGAATGTTTTACCACCTCCTTCTCCTTTCTCCTTTGCAGGACAGAGTGGTCTTGGCAAGTCCACCATGGTCAACACCCTCTTTAAATCTAAGATCAGTCGGAAATCAGCCTGTTCCGGGTATGAGGAACGTATTCCCAAAACTGTGCAGCTGCTCTCTGTCACCCATAGTAAGTAATATGAAAAAGCGAGCTCCTTGCTTCTGTTTTCGAGAGAAAGTACCCCATTGTTTGGACTATAAGACACACCAGAGTATAACACACACCAAGATTTCAAAGAGGAAAACAAGGGAAAAAAATAGTTTTTTGCCCTCCCCAGCCCTCAGGAACACTCTGCAGGCCTCCCAAACCCTCTGCGCCAGGGGTGAATTCTAAATTTTTTCCCTACCGGTTCTGTGGGCGTGGCTTGGTGGGCGTGGCAGGGGATGGATACTGCAAAATCTCCATTCCCACCCCACTCTGGGGCCAGCCAGAAGTGGTATTTGCCAGTTCTCCGAACTACTCAAAATTTCCGCTACCAGTTCGCCAGAATCTGTCAGAACCTGCTGGATTTCACCCCTGCTTTGCACGTCCCGTTTTTGTGAAAAATGGGCCCGTTTTTGGTCTCCCAAACCCCCCACACATCGCATTTTTGCCCTCCCCAGCCTCCAGGAGTACTCTGCAGGCCTCCCAAACCCTCTGCACATCCTGTTTCTGCGAAAAACGGGCCTGTTTTTGGAGAAAATGGGACGTATGGGTGGTAAAAATGGCTGTATTTGGTGTATAACACACACTAACATTTCCACCCTCTTTTAGTGGGGGGGGGAGGTGCATTTTATACTCTGAAAAGTATGGTATCACTTCCCCCTCCCTTTTTGCCATCTTCATCCCAGTAGAACCATCAAAGGTCTAGAAAAACCCACTAGGGATTTTATACTCTTCTCCATCCCTTTCTCCATCACCCTTAGCACGATAAAACTATTCTAGTTTTTTTAAGCTGGTTCAAAAGATGACATATACATGTGTTCATCCAACACACTTAATCTGGAGATTGGATTGTCTGAGTTGGGCCAGGATACCCAACCTAAATAAGCAAAGGTATATGGAGATACCTCCAACACATTATTCTGTTACAAACCCAGAGAAGCAGAATGTGTGAATGCAAACGCTAGATCCAGTGATTTGGTTAATTTAATGAGAAATTCAATAGGGTAAAATATCCAGGAAAAAAACTCACTCCAGGGAAAGGATACTGCAAAATCCCCATTTCCTCCCCACTCCAGGGGAAGGATACTGCAAAATCCCCATTCCCCCCCCACTCCAGGGGAAGGATACTGCAAAATCCCCATTCCCTCCCCACTCCAGGGAAAGGATATTGCAAAATCCTCATTCCCTCCCCACTCTGGGGCCAGCCAGAGATGGCATTTGCCGGTTCTCCGAACTGCTCAAAATTTCCGCTACCGGTTCTCCAGAACCTGCTGAATTTCACCCCTGGTCTCCTGCAATAGGCAGAAGGTTGGTCTGGAAGACCTCGAAAATCCCTTCTAACCCTATGATTCTGTGTTCTAAAAGCAGTAGTAGAAACATGGTGATGGTTCCTAACTGGTGAACTTCTCTGCAAGGACTGGAGGAAATCGCCCACATTTTTTTAATAAGAATGGAGGGATAACTATTTCCTTTTGAAAAATAGCTGGACTGCTGGCTGACTGACTGCACAGCAAAGGGATTGTGTGATGGAAGCGATCTCAGGGCAAACCGGAAGGTATCGAAGGCTTACTGGGTGGGTTGATGAAAAAGGAGGAGGCCCCTTTATTGTGCTGTATCTAAACTAGACTATTCTTCTTCCACATCCTTCAACTCCCCCTTCTCCCCCTCCTCCTCCCACTCCCCAGTTACCCAGCAGGGCTTGTGAAAGGAGCTGGGCCCATCCGTTTCAGCTCTCTGGGAACAAAAGGGGTCTTGTGCAAGACTCCCACTGACCCATTAAAGCGGTCGCCATAGCTACCCTCCCAGGAAGTTCATGCTGCTTTTCAAAAGACGGGTGTGGGGGAATGCTGTCATTCTTCCAAAAGGGAAGAGCCCACCACTGGCCTCATAGTTTTGAGATCAGAGACATCCCCTCCCCACCCATTCTCCAAGAAAGGGCTCCGTTTCCCAGAGCCAGCCTGGGGAGGAGACTAAGGGAAGAGATTTTCGAAGGCAGCACTCGTTGTGGGGGGACACGGGGGGTGATGGAAATGGTATCCTACCCAAAGTTGAAGGGCTCTTTTCAGGATCCAAGGGAAGATGCTAAGAGTCAGTAAGGTCTGTCCAGTTGCACATGGAGTAGGGGGCAGGGGTGAAATCCAGCAGGTTCTAACAGGTTCTGGAGAACCAGTAGCAGAAATTTTGAGTAGTTAGGAGAACCGGCAAATACCACTTCTGGCTGGCCCCAGAGTGGGGTGGGAATGGAGATTTTGCAGTATCCTTCCCCTGGAGTGGGGAGGGAATGGGGATTTTGCAGTATCCTTCCCCCAGGAGCGGGAAGGGAATGGGGATTTTGCAGTATCCTTCCCCCAGGAGTGGGGAGGGAATGGGGATTTTACAATATCCTTCCTTCAGGAATGGGATGAGAATGGGGATTTTACAATATCCTTCCCCTGAAGTGGGGAGGGAATGGAGATTTGGTAGTATCCCATGCCACGCCCACCAAATCCACCAAGCCACGCCCACAGAACCGGTAGTAAAAAATTTGGATTTCACCACTGGTAGAGGGGGGGGGGGGAATGGATCCATCATTCCCTGCCTCAGGCAACCACAGATCTTTGATGGACTGTGATTGTCTCATTTCAGAAGGCCTTCTGCAGCCTTCCAGCCTTGGCCACAGGAATTAGAGTGCCTTTGCCCTCCCAGTTCTAAAGCCCATCAGGAGTCTGTCTGCATCTGGCATTGATTTGAAAGATTCAAGGAGAGCTGCTAACCCACTCCTCATCCTGACAATCAGAATTATCTATCTATCTTTCTGCCTGTCTATATGTCTATTGATCTATCAATCAATTTCTAGCTCTATCTATCATGTCTAAGGGTCTGGTCTGTCTGTCCGTCTATCCGTCTGTCTGCCTCTGTCTATTTCTAGATCTATCCATCATATCTAAGGGTTTGTCTGTCTGCCTACCTACTTACCTACTTACCTACCCATCTACTTATCATCTAATCTATCTGTCTGTGTCTGTCAATATAGCTAATGTATTTGTCTGTCTAGCTATCATCTCTCTCTCCCTCCCTCCCTCCCTCCCTCCCTCCCTCTCTCTCTCTCTCTCTCTCTCTCTCTCTGTGTGTGTGTGTGTGTGTGTGTGTTCCAATATCTCAGGGGTTGCCACAAAGAAGAGGGAGTCAAGCTATTCTCCAAAGCATTTGAGGGCAGGACAAGAAGCAACGGGTGAAAACTAAACAAGGAGAGAAGCAACCTAGAACTAAGGAGAAACTTCCTGACAGTTAGAAACAATTAATCAGTGGAAGAGCTTGCCTTCAAAAGTTGTGAATGCTCCAACACTGGAAGTTTTTAAGTAGAGGTTGGATAACCATTTGTCTGAAATGGTGGAGGGTTTCCTGCCTAAGGAGGGGGTTGGACTAGAAGACCTCCAAGGTCCATTCCAACTCTGTTCTTATTCTTATTCCCTCCCTCCCACAAATGAATCACCCTCCTCTGCTCTGCTCTGCTCTGCTGTGCTCTGCTTTATTCTATTCTATTCTATTCTATTCTATTCTATTCTATTCTATTCTATTCTATTCTATTCTATTCTACTCTACTCTCTCTCCATGCATCCATGCATCCTTCCATCCATCTACCTACCTACCTACCTGCCTACCTACCTACCTATCTACCTATCGATCAATCTATCTAGCAAATATATCTAACCACCCATCTCACAAGAAAGGACTCTGGGTGGCCTACAACAATCAAATAAAAACAGCACTCATACAAATGCAATCATTCTATAAATCTAAAAGAATCCTTGTTTAAAACTTAAAATAGATTACAAAGTAAACTATACAAACCACAGGTGTGGAGAGAAGGAATAATATATCAATAGAGGAGCCACCTTGAGACATGATTAATTCCCTGGGACCCCAAGTCCGGTAACATAAGCAGATCTGGAGGGACTTTTCAAGAGAAAGATGGAGTTTACTTGACTTTTAGGGCGGTGGGAGAATGTTCCCCGTCTCCTCCCCCTCAATTGAAAAGCAAGAAGGAAGCAGGTGAGTCTGAATCTGGATTCAGAAACATGACCTAACCCAATTTCCAATTCTTCTGACAGTCGTTGAAGAAAAAGGAGTGAAGATGAAGCTGACGGTCACAGACACCCCGGGATTTGGGGACCAGATTAACAATCAAAACTGGTAAGAAGGGGGATGGACCACTAGCACCTTACATGGAAGATCTGGCATTGATTTCCTCTTTTCAAGATTGATTGATTGATTGATTGATTGATTGATTGGATGATTCATTCATTCATTCATTCATTCATTCAATGTAGATGTCTCTTTTTAAAGACCACCGTCCTGGAACAGTGGCTTAGCAGAGTTTCTTGCAGAAATTAAATCCTGAAAGCACACAAGGCAGGAGAGAACAGTTAGTATCATTTCAGCAGAGCAGACAAGCATGCACAGACTGCTTAGTTTCAGTTTCAATTCTCTGCACAGACTCAGAAGCTGCAGACTAAGACATGCCCTGGCTCCAGTCTATCTCAGCTCCCAATTGGCTGACTTAGTTGCTTGCCTATTCATTGGCTGACCTTGTTACATGTCTCTACCAGTTCATTTTAAAATGCTTTTAAAAGAAAACAAAAACCTCTGATGATCAGGCAACTCAGCTGGGATCGTCAGAGCCTTTTAAAAGCATTTTTTTTACAACCTCTTTGGCCGAAGAGGTTGTAGAAAAATGCTTTTAAAAGGCTCTGACGATCCCATCTGAGCAGCGCGATCATCAGAGCTTTTTTAAAAAAACTTTTAAAAGTTTTTAAACGTTTTTTTTTTTAAGTTTAAAGTTTTAAAACTTTTGGCTGAAGAGGTTTTAGAAAAAATGCTTTTAAAAGTAAAAAAATAAAAGCCTCTGATGACCGCACAGCTCAGCTGGGCATGGGGGGGCAGGCAGGGATTTTTGCTACTGGTTCTCCAAACCACCCACCGCCATCGCTACCGAACCGGGAGCATTTCACCCCTGACCTTGATGTTCTTACAGTGAAGGTATTTTCTCAAAAGAACTTCATCCTTTATTTGTTTGCTAGTTTGCTTTAAGCAATAAACAGCAAGTTTTGCTCACGATGGTCCAGGAAACTGAAACTCTATTTCTTCCTTTCTCATAGCTGGGTACCGATAATTCAATATATCAATGACCAGTATGAGCGTTATTTGAAAGAGGAAATCCTGATCAATCGCAAGCAGAAAATCCCAGATACCCGTGTACACGCCTGTGTGTATTTTGTCCCCCCGACAGGTCACTGGTAAGTCCTCCTTTGCTATGAGAGTCCATCCCCCCCACCTCTCATTATAACCAAAAAGGATATCATAGAAAGCTGGGCCAGCTCTATTCAGAACAAAGCATGGAGAAGGTTACGCATCCTAGAGGAGATTAGATTAGAATTCTTTATTGGCCAAGTGTGATTGAACACACAAGGAATTTGTCTTTGGTGCATATGCTCTCAAGCGTACATAAAAAGACAAAATACATTCGTCAAGAATCATAAGGTACAACACTTAGTGATAGTCATAGGGTACAAATAAGCAATCATCAGCGGTGAGTTTCAATTTTTTTTACTACCGGTTCTGTGGGCGTGGCTTGGTGGGCATGTCATGGCTTGGTGGGCGTGGCTTGGGCGTGGCAGGGGAAGGATACTGCAAAATCCCCATTTCCTCCCAATTAGCTGGGACTTGGGAGGCAGAGAATAGACGGGGGCGGGGCCAGTCAGAATTTTTACTACCGGTTCTCTGAACTACTCAAAATTTCCGCTACCGGTTTTCCAGAACTGGTCAGAACCTGCTGAAACCCACTCTGAATGAAATCATACTAGGAAACAATCAATATAAATCATGAGGATATAGCAACAAGTTACAGTCATACAGTCATTAGTGGGAGGAGATGGGTGATAGGAACAATGAGAAGATTAATAGTAGTAGTAGTGCAGACTTAGTAACTAGTTTGACAGTGTTGAGGGAATTATTTGTTTAGTAGAGTCATGGCGTTCGGGGAAAAACTGTCCTTGTGTCTAGTTGTTCTGGTGTGCAGTGCTCTGTAGTGTCGTTTTGGGGGTAGGAGTTGAAACAGTTTATGTCCAGGATGCGAAAGGTCTGTAGATATTTTCTCAGCCCTCTTTTTGACTCGTGTAGTATACAGGTCCTCAATGGAAGGCAGGTTGGTAGTAATTGTTTTTTCCGCAGTTCTAATTATCCTCTGAAGTCTGTGTCTGTCTTGTTGGGTTGCAGAGCCAAACCAGACAGTTATAGAGATGCAGATGACAGACTCCATAATTCCTCTGTAGAACTGGATCAGCAGCTCTTTGGGCAGTTTGAGTCTTCCTGAGTTGGCGCAGAAAGAACATTCTTCGTTGTGCTTTTTTGATGACGTTTTTGATGTTAGGTGTCCATGTTAGGTCTTGAGATATGATAGAACCTAGAACCTTTAGACAGCAGGCCAAGACAAATAGACATAGCATCTTATCTAGATGGTCTTTAGATTATACCTCCCAACCAAAGCCGGGGAGAAGGCTTTCCTTAATCCAAAACCAAACCTGTGACAGGTGATCTTTGAAACCCACCACCAAATGTGTTTGATGTCAAGGTTCCGCCTGATGAACCCAACCAGTTCAGCACTCCGAGTACGGACAGCTTTCTCAAAGAACTGTTTTAGAGAACTGTGTTCTCTGGTAACTCCTTCTAGTCTCCAGCTAGCACCTGTTGAGATGACCTTGGTTCTCACGGGATGATCTGTTGTTGTTGTCTGGTCTGACATTCCAGCCTCTTCCCCTCCCTCCCATACTGTGTGACAAGCTGAGAAACGAAAAGATGGCTGCAGCAGCCCAGATCCGTTTCGAACTTGACATTTGAGCAGTTGCGTAGTCAGCTTCTCCAGGGAAGATGAATCCTCCAAGAGGTGTTATGGCCTGCTGGTCGCCAGAGGAGCTGGACAGTGAGGAGGTTGGGGAGGAACATGGGCCAGTCCTGGGGCTGGGGAAAGCTCAGACGAGGGTTCTGCATTGAAGATAGGGAGGGAGATAAGACAGCAGCAAGGCAGAGGAACAGCTGGAGCCCATTCCCAGTGTGTGCATGCGCAAAGCTGCCAGAAGACAAGAACAACTAAGAAAGCAGGGTCGACTTGGGAGTAAAGCCACACCTTGGAGGTGATTGGCCCCTCCCATAGGAATCAAAAGAGGAGCGAACGGGGAGTGGGCTTTTTCAGGAAACAATTTGTTCGTTCGGTCGTTTCAAGAGAGTGGGAAGATCTGTCTGTGACTCTCGGAGCCTCTGTGCCAAGTTTTGCCTTACACTGTGTTTGGAAACTAGTTACCTGGCAGCTTTCCAAGCGGGATAAGGTCTGTGTTGATAAATATTCCTCTGAAAGACTGCTTGCTAGGCCTTGCTGACTGTGAGTGAAAGGAATTCACAGTCGTGTAAATAAAAGGGGTTTTGCCAGGGACCAAGTCTCTGCTTCCTGCTTTTTAAGGGAGCCTGGGTCAGAACAATAGGCTTCGTTGGGAATAGCAGCTCTGTTCATATCACACAGAGGCCTTCTTGCATTTCTTTCCCCTCAGGCTCCGCCCCTTGGACCTGGAGTTCATGAGACGTCTCAGTAAGATCACCAATGTGGTTCCGGTCATCGCCAAAGCGGACACCTTGACCCTCGAGGAAAGGGCAGAGTTTAAACAGAGAGTAAGAATAACTACCAGCACGAACAGAAACGCATAATGACAAAATGGTGGACTGACCTAGCGAAAGGGGAGAATAACAGAATAACAGAGTTGGAAGGGATCTTGGAGGTCTTCTAGTCCAACCCCCTACTCAAGCAGGAGACGCTGTACCATTCCAGACAAATGGCTGTCTATTCTCTTCTTAAAAGCTTCCAGTGTTGGAGCACCCACAGTTTCTGGAAGGAAGCCGTTCCACTGATTGTTTTCACAGTCAGGGAATTTATCCTTAATTCTAGGTTGATTCTCTCCTTGATTAGTTTCCATCCTCTGCCGTTACAGAAAAGTGAGTCTTGGAAAACTAGAAAGTATGACAACCTCAAAAGAAGTCACTTGGATTTTGTTAGGAATAAAATTTTATTTATTTTTATTTTATTTTATCTCGAATTTATATACCGCACCATCTCCCGAGGGACTCAGGGCGGTGTACAGCCAGATAAAAACATACAATATAAACATTAAAAACAGTTAAAAGGATATATATTAATTTGGCCCCAATTTAAGATAACAGACCAATTAAAAATTAAAAAATATTAAAAAATATGTTAAGCCAGCCCGGCTTGCTGAAAAAAGAAAGTTTTAAGGGCACGGCGGAAGGCACTGAGGTCTTGGATCCTCCTTATCTCCAGGGGTAGCTGATTCCAGAGGGTAGGTGCCCCCACAGAGAAGGCCCTCCCCCTGGGGGTCGCCAGCCTACATTGTTTGGCTAATGGCACCCCGAGGAGGCCCTCTCTGTGGGAGCGCACAGGTCGATGGGAGGCCGTCGGTAGCAGCAGGCGGTCTCGAAGATAACTAGGTCCTATGCCATGGAGCGCTTTAAAGGTGATAACCAAAATCTAGTACAGAGAGCTTTTGATAGGTGTATAGATTCTGAATCCATAATTCAGAATCAGGATTCTAACCCAGGGTTTTTTAGCAACTTAACAACTTTAAGAAGTGTGGACTTCAGCTCCCAGAATTTCCCATTCTGATTTTGAATGCTAAACTTAATACCATGGTCTCAAAGAATAAAACTGAACCGGCTGTCTAAAATAACAGATGCTTTCTTTAAAAGGGAAGAAAAATCCCAAAAGTTTATCTCCGGGGGGGTGGGGAGGTGGGGGAGTTTGGATTTGAATATGACTTTCTGATCTTTTGCTTGTAAACAGAGAAGCATCCAATTACAAAATTCCTCTAGCTTTCATGGTTGATTGGATTCCGTAAGAGAGTTTTACAGCACTTCTGTAAACCAAGGGACAAAAAAAGAAAAGAAATCTGCACTCTGGGGGCTGAGCAAGAATATTGAGGAGATCAATCTTCCTTCTATATGACATCTAAATGAATTAGAATTCTTGATTGGCCAAGTGTGATTAGACAGACAAGGAATTTGTCTCTGGAGCATAAACTCTCAGTGTACATACCTGTTTTCCCGAAAATAAGACCCAACCGGAAAATAAGTCCTAGTATGATTTTTCAGGATGCTCATAATATAAGCCCTACCCCCCAAAATGAGCCTCAGTTAAGATTGTCAGCCAGATGGATGCATTTAGTTTATTTATTTATTTATTTATTATTCGAATTTCTATACCGCCCTTCTCCTTTCGGACTCAGGGCGGTGAACAGCCAAAATAAAAACATTTATACATAAATACGATTAAAAATAGATTTAAAATAATTAAATTTGGCCCATAGTTTAAAATTTATCAATTTAAAATCCATATCAAAATTTAAAACCAACCATAAAATCATAAAATCAAGAGAGATTTTATGATAAAATCAATAGTACTGAGATTTTATGATAAAATCAATAGTACTGTATTTTCCCCCCAAAATAAGACCTAACCAGAAAATAAGCCCTAATGCGTCTTTCGGAGCAAAAATTAATACAAGACCCAATCTTATTTTGGGGGAAACACGGGTAAAACAATAGTGAATATCATGTAGAAGCGAAACAGATCTCTTCTGTAGCATGTTGTGATAGTCTTGATCAACCCCAAAGTGCAGGTTTTTCTTCACTTGTTGTCCTTCTATAAAAGAAAGGAATATTCTTCTCCCAGTCGTGATCATGACTACCATTTTATCTTGGCAGGTCCAAAAAGACCTGAAGGCCCACGGCATCCATGTTTACCCCCAAGTAGACTTTGACGATGATCCTGACGATCGACTTTTGAACGATAAAATCCGGGTAAGTCAGTGGAGATGGGGAGAACATTATGGAGCAGGGGTCACCAACCTTTTGGACCTCAAGGACCACTAAATTCATAATTTAAAATCCTGCGGACCACTAATACGATCTGCCTAATGACCGGCTGGGTGGGCGTGGCTAGGTAGTCATGTGACTAGGTGGGCATGGCCAACTCGGTGTCACTTGCATTGAGGGGCGCCTCGTTGGCCTCTACTCACCCCTCCCCTCCCAGCCACTCCTCGCCTGCCCACCTGGGCTCCTTAGGGCTCCAACAGGAAGCAGTTGTTGGAGCTAAGCAGCCACCACCAGAAAGAGTTGGCAAAACAGCTCAGTTCAAATTGGATCTGACCGAGAAGGAGGCTCAGCAGAAGCACCTCACTGAGGACTACAAGCATAGGCTTTCCAAGCAGAGGGAAGACCTGCGGGATTGCAAGGCCAGATACCGGCGCCTGGAGGTTCAGCGGGCTGAGATGGTCAGCCAGTTCCAGGCCATGATGCAGTCCCACTGAAACAAGACCCTCCGGCTCTTCGCCACCAGCGGCACTTCCCTTTGGAAGCTTTGGAAGCCATATTAGCACTGGAAGCTTCCACGCTGCTACCTTCTTGCACTTGGGAAAGTAGGGGGGGGGTTTAGTAAAGAGGTTTTAGTTAGACATAATAGCATTTTTCTTTTCGGTCAAGGTCAGGGTGTTCCTGCATCTGGAGGAGGAGTGGTTGAATTGGGCCTCAAGTTGGGATACGAATGGTGACTGGACCATGTGATGGACTGATGAGTGCAAGGGATGGATTTGGGGGCTTTGATTTACTGAGGGAAAACCCGGAACTCTCAGATTCGGGTTTTCCCAGATGTGCCAGTATACCTACTCTAATAAATGGGAAATTTGAGAAGATGCTTGCCTCGGAGTTTTTAGTTAGAGTTGGGTTGTTCTGGAACACTGACATTGGGCTCAGTTGTGGCTGTAAGTTGAGCAGAGTTGGGTTTCAGCAGGTTCTGACCAGTTTTGGAGAACCGGTAGCAAAAAATTTGAGTAGTTCAGAGTACAAGTGGGTAAAAATGCTGACTAGCCCCACCCCCATCTATTCTCTGCCTCCCGAGTCCCAGCTGATTGGGAGGAAATGGGGATTTTGCAGTCACCTTCCCCTGCCTTACCCACCAGCCATGCCCACAGAACCGGTAGTAAAAAAATTTGAAACCCACTACTGAAGTTGAGGACTACCTGTAACCAGTTGGGGATTCTCAACAGGATTGCAATGCGTTCAGCTTCTGAAGGTGTGTTTTGGTTTAGTCGAAGTTCTGAGTCTATCAACGGCGATACATATTTAAACTCTGCTGACTTTTTTTCTTCACCAAGGTGGTAGAACTGAATTCCTCGCTTCTCTTAATCTAGGAGAAAATCCCCTTTGCAGTCGTAGGCGCGGACAAGGAGCACCAGGTGAATGGGAAGAAGGTCCTGGGTCGCAAGACCAAGTGGGGGATCATTGAAGGTAAGCCTTCTTGGAGGAAGAGCTGGCCTGCAGAGGTCCATCTGAGAAAAGTCCCTAGAGTCAATCTCTTGTGCACACTTGAGTGTAGGAGAAGGAATGGCATAACCAAGGGGCAGACTTAAGAGAGGGGTCAGCTTAGAATCCCTACATAGCCACAAGCAAATGATTAATGTCAGGCATGAGAGATCAGGTCCACACATGAAGGTCCAGTTAAAATGCTAATAGTGCCTATGCATAGGAATCTTCTCAACTAACACTCGGCCCCTGCTCGGAGTTAGATGCGGGTCAATGGAATTCAAGGGGAGTGTCAAGGTTCCGAGTGATGCACCCATCGAAAGCAGAACTCCGAGGCAGGTAGATTCCTCAAAGAACATGTTTATTGGATGCATCAAATCGGCACAGCCAAGGAAAACCGATTCTGAAAAGTTTTCCCCAGTAATGACATCATTAAAACAGCATTTGATCCCCTCCCCTATTGTCACAGGTCACATTCTCCACTCAGGACGTTTGGTGGGCTCCTTGGTTGACTTTCCTCCTCCTTCAACGGCCACTTGTGTATTTGTGCTTGGTTCCCATGAGAAAGCTTTTTGTTTTGACTACTGGCTAGGCTATCAGTTCCCCCCTCCCCCTTACGAGTTTGTGGCAACTATGAGGCAGCAGAAGATGGCTTCAGCCAGGCTCGCTTCAGAGTTGACAGAGTTGGACTTAGCTTGCTTGTGGTGATGTAAGGATTCTAGGCTGATCCCTCTTTTAACGCCACATCCAGGTTCTGCCTTCCTTCTCTTACATTGTGTTTTTTACTTTCCTCTGCTTCTCCTGCTTTGTGCCCTACACCGATAGTTGCTTATTTACACCCTTGGCTAGGAGAGGGATGCTACTCCCACCAGAACAGTGATCTGGGGCCATGTAACTGCCAAAATGTCTAAGCTTTTCCTGAAATTTGAAATGGAAGAAAAACGACCTAAGACAGTGATGGCTAACCTTTTTGTCATCACGTGCCAAAAGCGGGGACAGCACGGGGGGGGGGGGTCGCACACATGTACCCACACCCATAATTCTATGTGCCCTGCCCCCCCCGTGCATGTGCACGCCCCCCCCACATTCCCTCTGCTTTTGGCATACGATGGCACGGTGGGCCTGGTAGGCCCGTTGTTTGTTCTCCCCAGGCTCCAGAGCCTCTCTAGGAGCCTGGGGAGGGTGAAAATGGCCTTCCCCACCCCCCAGAGGCCCTCCGGAGGCCAGAAATGGCCCATTTGCCAACTTCCGGTGGGCCCAGAGAGGCTCTGGAGCTTGGGGAGAGCAAAAAATGGGCCTTCCCCACCACTCCAGGCCCTCCGGAGGCAGGAAACAGCCTGTTTCCCTACTTCCGGTGGGCCCAGAAGGCCCAAAAATCAGCTGGCCAGCACATGCATGCATGCCGGACCTGAGCTTGTGTGCCCACTGATATGGCTCCGCGTGACATGTGTGGCATGCGTGCCATAGGTTCGCCATCACGGACCTAAGAAATGTATGATGAAATGAGCTAAAAACTTTGGTTACTCTATACAGATGATCAGTGGGAAAATGTGTGATTACAAAGACTAAAATCCACACTGTTAAGATTCTTTACAAAACGATGTACCATTGGTATTGTGACAGCAGACAAACTTTCTAGAATGTCTGAAGGTACAGGCAGTCCTCGACTTACAGCCATTCATTTAGTGACCGTTCAGAGTTGCAACAGCACTGAAAAAAGTGACTCAGGATTGTTTTTCACATGACCAACATAGCATCCCCATGGTCACGTCATCCAAATTCACATGGCATGGCAATTGACTCATATTTATGACTGTTGCAATGTCCCGGGGTCATGGGATCAGTAGTGGGTTCCTCCCAGTTCGGCCTGGTTCTCCCGAGCTGGTAGCGGTGACGATATGACATCACTGAACTGGTTCTGCCCCCCCCGCCCCCCCGCGTTATTCTTATCTTTTATTTGGCCCCACCCCCAATCTATTGCTGCCTCCTGAGTCCCAGCTGATGGCTAGAGGGAAAAAAACTGTTTAAACTCTTGCTGCGGGGCTTCAAAGAGCCGCCCTACAGCTGATCAGTGTTAAAAGAAAACAAATGAGTAGACCGATGCCTGCAAAAATACATGAGTAGATCAATGCCTGCAAAAATACATGAGTAGATCAGTGTCTGCAAAAATAAATGGGTAAATTGGTACAGCTCTGCAAGCAGTTAAAAGCCTGGTAGACCAGTACCTCTGCTAAATCCTAAATAATTGTCACATGACCAAGCCACGCCCATAAAATAAGCCACGCCCACAGAACCAGTAGTAAAAAAATTTAGAACCCACCCCTGCATGGGATCTCCTTTTGCGACCTTCTGACACGCAGAGTCAATGGGGAAGCCAGATTCACTTAACAACCCTGTTACTAACTTAACATCTTCAACGGTACACTGGTATAATTTTAAATCGTTTTTTAATTGGGTTACTGATTTTAAAGCACGTTTCGCCGTGCTCTCAAAACTTTTCTATTTCAGCAAGCTGGCCTGGCCTAACTCCCCTCTTTTAAATTTTTTAAATTTTTTAATTCGTGATTTTATAAATTGGGTGTTTTAATCTGTGTTTCGGCCAAAATATTTAATAATTTTAAGGGATTTTAAATATTTGTATTATCTGTATTTTATTTTAGCTGTTCACCGCCCTGAGTCCTTCGGGAGTAGGGCGGTATAGAAATTTGATTAAATAAATAAATAAATAAATAAACAAATAAATAAATAAATAATTTGGTATTGTATTGTGATTTGTATTGAAGTTGTCATTTTGTAAGCCGCCTTGAGTCCCTAGGGAGAAAGGCGGCATATAAATCGCAATAAATAAATAAATAAATAAATAAATAAATAAATAAATAAATAAATAAAGATTCACTTAACCATTATGGCAAGAAAGGACTTAAAAACTTACTTAACAACTCACAGACCACAGGGAAAATCGCTTTTATTGATTGGCCTGGGCAGCTCTCTATAGGTTTTCAAACAGAGACCTTTAGGCATCAGAATTGCAGTCTGATCATTGATTAAAACTACAGTAGCTTTAAACTTTTCTCCACTATTGGCAAAGCAATATTTAGGTATCCAGTGCCCCCTAGTGCTCAGGAAAGACTTATTCCCAGCAAGACATGAGACATTCAAATCATTGCCTGTGAATTCCAAAATTTGACCCAACTGGCTCAAGCCAAACATTTGGCAGAAGGAATAGATAGAGAAACAAGGACTTGTGTGGTTGAGCGAATTTAGGGAAGGTGTGATTTGAAAGGGAAGAAAAAGATCAGATGAATGAATTCTCTACTCTTCAACTTCTTCAACACCTGGAATACTGCAACCGATTTTGGTCTCCATATTACAAAAAAAGATGTTGAGACTTTGGAAAAAGTTCAGAAAAGAGCAACTAAGATGATCAAAGGCCTGGAGATTAAAACATACGAAGACCGGCTGCAGATTTTTGAGTCTGGCTAGACTAAAGAAAAGAAGAATTAAGGGTGATAGCAGTATTCCAGTATTTGAGGGGCTGCCACAAAGAAGAGGGGGTCAAATTATTCTCCAAAACACCAGAGGGCAGGACAAGAAGCAACAGATGGAAACTAATCCAAGAGAGAAGCAACCTGGAATTAAGGAGAAGCTTCCTAACACTGAGGAGAATCAACCAGTGGAACAGCTTGCCTATGTAGTCTCCAGGCCTTTGATCATCTTAGTTGAGTTCTTCTCTGAACTTTTTCCAAAGTCTTAATATCTTTTCTGTAGTATGGTGACCAAAATTGGTTGCAGTATTCCAGGTAAGGTGGTTTCTCAAGAGGCAACTGGAGTTTCTGGCCTCTTGAAAAAGGACTTTTGGGTTTGCAAATGCCAATGTCTTTGCCAGCACTTGCTGTTCCTTATGCTTGGAGCAAGCCTCCAAGAATTCACTGTCAAGATCAGTTTCTTTCCTTCAGCATGGGAAAATCTTTAGTCCTAGGCCCTGCAATATTTTAGAGGGAATTAAATGACAGTCAATATTTGCACTTAACTATAAATTACTTCCCCATTGATCTGTGGACTTTGCTCTGTTTGGTTACACTCCTAGAAGTGGGCATCTGTATGCGATGGGTTATTTTTTTTTTTAATAGAAGGGCCATCCGTCACACCAATTTATAGTTTTTAACTATTTTAGCAAAACTGAATTCTGCACATCTAGATTGGGGTTTTTTCTTGCTCTTTTGAGGGAGGGAGGTGAATTTTTAAAAACATAAAAAACCAGGTGTTAGCCATGAAAGCCAGATGGGTGACTTAGGGTCAGTCCCAGGGGTGGGATTCAGCCAGTTCGGGTGAAACAAATTTTAATTTTACATCTGGTTCGCTGAACCGGTAGTTGCAAGGACTGGCTGGCCCCTCCCACCCCAACCCGCCCCTCCCAGGAGTCTCCACGTGGCCCGTTTTGGATGCAAGGTAAATGCAAGGCCCACGCGGAGGCTTCGGGAGGGCGAAAAATGGGCCTCCCGGAAGTTCCAAAAGTCCGAAATAGAAGTCAAGAAATAGCTTGACCTCATATTCTTTGTGGCAGCCCCTCAAGTATTGGAAGACTGGTATCGTGTCGCCCCTAGTCATTCTTTTTACTAGATTAGACATATTGTAGTCAATTCCTAGGGACGTGGTGGCTCAGTGGCTGAGACGCTGAGCTTGTCAATCGAAAGGTCGGCAGTTCAGCGATTCGAATCCCTAGTGCCATGTAACGGGGTGAGCTCCCGTGACTTGTCCCAGCTTCTGCCAACCTAGCAGTTTGAAAGCAGGTAATAAAAAATGCAAGTAGAAAAATAGGGACCACCTTTGGTGGGAAGGGAACAGCGTTCCGTGCGCCTTTGGCATTGAGTCATGCCGGCCACATGACCACGGAGACGTCTTCTGACAGCACTGGCTCTCCGGCTTTGAAACGGAGATGAGCACCGCCCCCCTAGAGTCGGGAACGACTAGCACATATGTGAGAGGGGAACCTTTACCTTTTAGTCAATTCCTGCAACCGTTCTTCATCATCCTTCTGCTTGGATGGCCAAATTATGCACTTCCTGAAATCCTCGAAGATAATATTTTTTGAATGGCAAACCAGAAGTGATGTCTCTGTGTTTGGAGAGGGGGAAGGGCGCAGAATTGCAGAAACAGCAGGGAAATGTTTGCATTAAAAAAATAACAAAAAACCATTGATGGTTTTAGGAACTTGCTGAGATGGTTAAATGGACTCCCTTGATTACAGAAAAGAGAATATCTATGTTTATTGGCAATTAGAAATGCCTTGTAGACATTTTTACTGTAACAGGGGAAAAAAATGAATTCATGATTTATGATTCTTTTGATTAGGAAAAAAAAACAGGAAGGGGAAAAAAAAAAGAGCTTGTCTTTATAAGCATAGACCAGAAAGCTCATTTTGGTTTTGTCCTTATAATTGCTGTAAAGAAAATCAGAAGCTCCTTCCTATCGCTTCTATTTTTGAAAATCTCTGTCACTGGAGGGTTTTTTTTTAATTATTATTTTATTATTATTTTTTTTTAATTTGATTTATATGCCGCCCTTCTCCGGAGACTCAGGGCGGCTTACAATGCATTAAGCAATAGCCTTCATACTTTTGTATATTTATACAAAGTCAGCTTATTGCCTCCACAAACTGGGTCCTCAATTTACCTACCTTAGAAAGGATGGAAGGCTGAGTCAACCTTGAGCCTGGCAAGATTCGAACTAGCAGTAATTGCAGGCAGCTGAATGATAATAACAGGCTATTAGTCTGCTGCGCCACCAGGCTCTTTATCTAGTCTTTTCAAAAATAGACTAGACAACCATTTGACCAAGACGGCCATAACACTTTTTAAAATGTTTTTAATTGTTTGTTATTGTTTTTAATTATGGGGCCAAATTTATATATATATCTTTTTAATTGTATTTTAATGTTTGTAGTTTATGCTTTTACATGGCTGTTCACCGCCCTGAGTCCTCAGGGAGAAGGGCAGTATACAAATTTAAAAATAAATAAATAAATAAATAAATAAAAATAAGATCTGCTGCCTTAGGCAGAAGGTTGGACTAGAAGACTCCTGAATTCCTTTTTAGCCCTAAAATTCTATGTTTTATTTGTTATCCTTTTTCCCCCCATTCGTTTTTGGCTTCTTTCTTTTCTTTCTTTCCTTTTCTTTATATTAGATCTTGTTAGTGTATATCCCCTTTTAAAATTTGCTATTATTCTAATTTAACAATTTGCGATTTAGATAAAGGGTCTCCAACTCCTGGTCCGTGGACCAGTGCCAGAAACCGGGCAGCGCAAACAAGCGAAGCCCCATCCATGGGGTGCCTTGATTTAGATGCCCAAGGGTGGGCTGATGGGGGTTCGCAGGGGCTCGGGAGAACCTCTAGCTAAGGTTCTGTGCAGTTTGGAGAACCCCCAAATCCCAGTTATGGCTGGCCCCCCCCCCCGCTCCACCCACCCCTCCCAGGAGTCCCCACGCAGCCCATTTTAGATGCAGGTAAGTGCAGGGAGTGTGCGGAGGCTCAGGGAGGGTGAAAAATGGGCCTACTGGCAGTTCAGGAAAATCAGAAATGGGCCTGTTTCCAGCCTCCAGAGGGCCGCTGGAGCCTGGGGAGGCCGTTTTCGCCCTCCTGGAGGCTCGAGGAAAACCGCTGGAGTCCAGGGAGGGCAAAAATACTCCACTGCCATGGTGCAGGAGGCTGACTAGGCCACACCCACCATGGCCACACCAGTGGTGGGTTCCTCCCGGTTCAGTCCGGTTCGGCCGAACCGGTAGCAGTGACAATATGACGTCACCGAACCGGTTCTCCCCCCCCGCCCTCCCACTCCCCCACGTTATTCTTACCTTTTATTTGGTCCCACCCCCAATCTATTGCTGCCTCCTGAGTCCCAGCTGATGACTAGAGGGAAAAACACTGTTTAAATTCTTGCCGGGGGGCTTCAAAGGGCCGTCCTACAGCTGATCAGTGTTAAAAGCAAACAAATGAGTCGGGTCGTAAGTGCGAGGACTGGTCGTAAGTGCGAGGACCTTCCAGAAATGACTGAACAGCTAGCCACGCCCACCTAGTCACATGACCTCCAAGCCACACCCACAAAATAAGCCACGCCCACAGAACCGGTTGTAAAAAAATTTAGAACCCACCCCTGGGCCACACCCACCCAGCAACCAGGCAGAGAACCCCTTGCTAAAACTTTTGAAGCCCACCCCTGTAGATGCCTGAAATGCTGCTTTTGTCTAGCGGAGCACTATGGCTGTTTGCGCACTTCAAGGCAATTGTCTCTCTTGGGTGCAGAGAGCCTGGCCCTGCTCCCAGAAACCCCCTGGTCACTTCATTCCCTTTGAATTTCCCCCCTTCTTATCTCCCGGTTCTCCTTCAAAATGCATTTCTGTGTTCCTCTCTTTCAGTGGAAAACTCGGCCCACTGTGAGTTTCCTTTGCTGCGGGATCTTTTAATCCGGTAAGTTGTTGGTTCGGGAATCTTAACCATTTTTGAATTGCAGGGGGTTGACGCATTTGGAAACCTAATGAGCCAATCAGAAAGGAAATAGGAGAGTCACAAGCCTTGCGTTTTGATGATCATTCTGGCCACATTCCTCGGGTATTCTCCCTTGGTATGCACTCTGTATGTGCTGCAGGAATTCTGGGCTAAAATTGTGGAGGATACGTGGAATATTTTTACTGGATCTATATTTACTGGAGTAACTGAGTAGTATGAGGTCAGCTAATAAGAGCCAAACAGGGATGCAGTGGCTCAGTGGCTAAGACACTGAGCTTGTCGATCAAAAGGTTGGCAGTTCAACGGTTCGAATCCCTAGTGCCGCCTAACGGGGTGAGCTCCCGTTACTTGTCCCAGCTTCTGCCAACTTAGCAGTTTGAAAGCACGTCAAAAATACAAGTAGAAAAATAGGGACCATCTTTGGTGGGAAGGTAACAGCATTCTGTCCACCTTTGGCATTTAGTCATGCCGGGCACATGACCACGGAGACATCTTCGGACAGTGCTGGCTCTTCGGCTTTGAAACGGAGATGAGCACCACCCCCTAGAGTCGGGAACGACTAGCACATATGTGCGAGGGGAACCTTTACCTTAAGAAGGGCCAATTTGATCTAGTGATTAAGGAGGGGTGAGGAACTATGGCCCCTTTATGATTTGTGGCTGGGTCGGGAATTCTGGGCATTGAAGTGCACAAGTCATAATGGGACCATAGTTCGCCATCTCTGGATTAAGGCACCAGGCTAGAAATTGGGAGACAGTGAGTTCGAGTTCCGACTCGAAAACTGATTGGGTGACCTTGGGCTAATCACCAGGAGACTGGGAGTTCTAGTCTCACCTTAGATATAAAAGCCAGCTGAGTGGCTTTGGGCCAGGAGACACCAGGAGACTCTGAGTTCTAGTCCCACTTTAGGCATGAAAACCAGTTGGGTGACTCTGAACCAATTACCACGAGATGGTGAGTTCTAGTCCTGCCTGAGGCATGAAAGTCAACTAGGTGACTAGTCCCTTTCTTTCAATTCAGTCCACATCATGGTTGTGGGGAAAATAGGAGGAAGGAGGAGAGGTATTAAGTATTCTCAACACCTTGAGTTGTTTATAAAAATAATAAAGGCTGGATACAAATAAATACTAAATAAATAAACAGGGGAACCCAGCAGTTCCAGCTGCTGCTATAACAAAGATTAGCCCTAGTTGGCAACTGGAATTACTCCTCAGTCGCCTTCTTGGTGAGAAATACACAATTCTGCCAATGCCAAAGGTCTACCGGAAAGGGAACAGTGGCCTGGAGCAGTAAAGTATTTAAGTTTAAGTACATTTAAAAGGACCAGGTCTTTCCAGGTATGGTTTGCCAAAAGAGGCATTCTATTTTTATAGAACTACTTAGGGTCCTACAAATCAGGGACAGGTTTCAAAACCCGTTGCTACCGGTTCGCTCGTGGGCACACACGCACTTGCGCCTGTGTGCGTGACACTTCTGCGCATGCACAGAAGCATCCAGGCAGGTGGGCGGAGCCTCCCGCCGCCGCCGCTACCAGTTTGCTCAATCCGGGGCAAACCGGTAGCAATCCATCACTGCTATAAATGAAGTTTCATTTTCAGATTGACTTATTTCTGGGACAAGATTTTCAATGACATTGACCACCAGAAGAGTACCAGTTTCCTTCTCTATTCAGAATTTCCAGATGTGGGTAGCCAGATGTTATTCTGTGGGTTTCAAACCCTCCACCAGAATTGACTTTCGTTGGATCTTCACGCTCAGATATATCCCTCAAGTCCATTCACTTTAGAAGCTATCCCAAGTCATGACACTCAACAATTTTGGAAAAATGGTCCTATAGAGTCTATCAGAAAGAAGTAAGGTTGTGTGTCGTGGATTGCATATTCCATTCTGGAAGTTTCTGGGATGACAGAAATTGTTTGGGAGCCAAACGATGGAGAATTGGTAGGAAGTTGTGAGGGAATTGCGCAGCAGGTGTCCAAATGAAGTCAGCAACGCTGAAGCGAACTTGTAGTTTCATATAAATAGATATATTTTACATCTACAGCAGACAAGATAGTCAGGCACATCATTGCATCCTGAGGTAAATTGTCAGGTAAATCGCAGAACAGCATACAGAGCACACAGAAGAAAAAGGCGGGGGAAAAGGGAAACTCCCCCTTCTCACCCAGCAACCAATCATAACGTAGGGGCCCACACTCTCCAACCAATCAACTACAACTGTGTGTTCTGGCCCATTATACTCTTTACTGTTCCAGCAGTCATTAAATATTGTTAAATTAAACATTTTTTAACAAAAGTCATCCAACTCTCTCATGGAATGGTTGAGATGTTGCTCTGCCCGATGGTTTCCAACCTCTTTCACTGATGCTTTCCCAAAAGTCAACTAGACTTTCTTAGGGTTTTTTTTTCCCTTGAAAGCATTTTGCTTCTCATCCAAGAAGCTTTTTCAGTTCTAGCTGAATGATGAGGAATGATTAGAAAAAAACGGATGACAAGAAGGAAAAAAAAAGAGCTTGTCTTTATAAACATAGAACAGAACAGAACAACAGAGTTGGACCTTGGAGGTCTTCTAGTCCAACCCCCTGCTTAGGCAGGAAACCCTCCACCACTTCAGACAAATGGTTATCCAACATATTCTTAAAAACTTCCAGTGTTGGAGCATTCACAACTTCTGGAGGCAAGTTGTTCCACGGATTAATTGAAGCTGTTTTTGGTTTTGTCCTTATAATTGCTGTAAAGAAAATCAGAAGCTCCTTCTTTCTATCACTTCTATTTTTGAAAATCTCTGTCACGGGAGGTTTTCAAAAATAGACTAGACAACCATTTGGCCAGGATGGCATAAAATCTCCAGCCTTGGGCAGAGGGTTGGACTAGAAGATCCCTAAGTTCCTTTTTAGCCCTACAATTCTATGTTCTATTTCTTATCCTTTTTTCTCCCATTTGTTTTTGGCTTCTTTCTTTTCTTTCTTTCCTTTTCTTTATATTAGATCTTTTTAGTGTATATCCCCTTTAAAAATTTGCTATTATTCTAATTTAATAATTTATTTAATTAATTAATTAATTAATTTTTATATGCCGCCCTTCTCCGGAGACTCAGGGCGGCTTACAATGCGTTAAGCAATAGCCTTCATACTTTTGTATATTTTATACAAAGTCAACTTATTGCCCCCACAAACCAGGTCCTCATTGTACCCACCTTAGAAAGGATGGAAGGCTGAGTCGACCTTGAGCCTGGTGAGAATTGAACTGGCAGTAATTGTAGGCAGCTGGATGTTAAATGCTGCCTTAGTAGGAGGCATTAGCCTCCTACGCCACTCAGGCTCCTGAGTGCGATTTAGGTCATGGTTGACCATGCTTTTCCAAAAGTCAACTAGACTTTCTTGGGGGTTTTTTCCCCCTTTGAAAGTGTTTTGCTTCTCATCCAAGAAGCTTTTTCAGTTCTAGCTGAACGATGAGGAAGGGAAGGATTTCGTTGATGCCCCTTTTTCTTCTCTGTAGGTCTCACCTCCAGGATCTCAAGGACATCACTCACAGTGTACATTATGAACAATACCGCATCCAGCGCCTCAATGAAAGCAACCGGCTGGCCAAAGGTGGCGAGTGGCTGGCACTGAGCTCCCTCACCTATGAGCCACAGGGACAACATGGTCTCCCTTGCACTGCCTCAGCCCCACCACCCCTCCAGTAGCTGGTGCACATTGGTTTCCACTTCCTTCCTCCTTTCTTTTTTTGGGGGAGTGGGGGGGGAAGGGGGGAAATCAGCTGGAGCAATGTTCCCAGAAGACATCACATTCCCTCTGTAGCCCTCGTGTGTTTTCTCAGCGTCTATGCCCCACTGCTGGATACCTTCCTTTCCATCTGTCTTCCATGCAATTTCACACCTTGGAGAAGAGCAATGTTGGAACAGCTGGCAATTTAGCCCAACTTTTCACATTCTTTGCCATCCGGACCATCTGTTATGTGACCTCTGCTTCTCGGCTAAACTCTGTGCTGTCGTTTCAGGAAAACATCCATTGCTGCCTTTGGAAGCAGGGTTCTTCTTTTCAGATGTTTGGATGTGAGCCCACTGTCCCTAGCAGACCTTCCTTCCTTATCCAACACCTAATTCTCTCCTTGGTTTCATCCTAAAGCTAGCGGCTCCATGGCACTTCCCTGCCACACTTATGGGGTGGGGTGGTCGAGGTTTGGGTGAAGGTTTTGCCTTGGGTCAAAGATGGAGCTCACAAACTCTGTTAACCCAAGTGGGTGACTCTTTCTTCATTGTAGATTGTCCCAGACTGGGAGATTGGTAGCTGTAAGAAGGTCTGAGAGCAAATACAGCCTTCAGGTGAAGGAACCAACCTTCCTATGTGACTTGGTCTGACTGACGGGACCAAAATTACTCATCTGGAAAGTGATTGGACAGCAGGAGGAATGGCATGTTACAAGCAACCTTCTCCCAAGAGACCTGTGTCATCTTGTACAAAGTTATGAGCTTCTGACTGTGGAATGCTCCTTCTGGAGATTTCTCATCCTGAGATCCACAGGCCTGGAACAATGCAGAAGATTAGTTCCAGCCTGGCCCCATGTTGGTGCAAGAAAAAAAGAGACCTGGGAAAACTTTTTTCCATTTTCCAGAATTTGCTCAACTGCCCAAGATTTTGGTTCCGTTCATGACAATGACACTCCTGAGTGAAGAGCTCTTGGTCAACTTGCGAATCTTTCCAGTTATTACATTAAATCCCAATTTAGAAGGTTTGGAGTTTTTCTCTCTTTTTTTTTGGTCAGGGGCGATTTAACTTCAATGTAGAATGGAGCTCCAGAGATCGGGTAGATTGGCCTCCCTTTCATCAGCTACTGGAGATCAGGTAGATCAGAGCCATCCTAGCTCTCGGGTGATCAAGAAGATTCACTATTGACTGCTGGAGAACAAAGAAACAGGTGAAGCTGGCAGGAAGTCATAAATCCCCCATTGCAATTTTTTTTTGCCTACCTTTTCTTCTGTTTAAGTAAAGAAATATCTCTGAAAGGATGGTGTAACATGGTACGGGTTATCTAGCGTTCTATAAATCTGTCGGGACTATGATTCTTATCATCTGAATTAGCAAGGCCAAAGGATAGCTGATCATGCAAAGCTACTATAAACGGAACAAATCAAGGAGAGTAAAGAAAATTCATGTAAAGAAAAGGGGAAGGAAGGTGTAATCCTTTTGAGGGTCAACTATAAGCGTTCCAGATAGGTCACTATTTTGGGAGACTTGACGGTTGTCTTAGGCCACAGGTGTCGTGGAATAACGCAGTCACGTGACGCTTCGTGACTTTTTCCCCTTCGCAGAGCTGGGGTGGGCGTGGCCTGCATGTGATGCATCCGGCCAGTGGGCTACAAGTTTGACACCCCTGCCTTAGGCGAAGGCAAAGAACTGCTATAGGTGACACCATAGTAGAATTAGTCACCGTTCCCCTGCGGTTCCCAAAGGTGCTTTTTCAAGAGGCAACTGGACTCCCTTGCTTTTTCTTTGAAGGCATTTCGCTTCTCATCCAAGAAGCTTCTTCAGCTCTGACAGGCTAGTGGAGAATGGAAGGATTGATATTTCTTGCAGACACTGGTTGTTTGCATCCTTTTAGAGGGTCGTTGAGGCCACTTGGAGATTTATCTGTGTCCTCAGGGTCACCTGAGTGGTTTTCCTGGTTCCTGTACTCTGCCATTTTTTTCCCCTCTGGAAATCCATTCCTAGTCCCATACCATTCCAAGGGCGTTCATCCCAAATTGCATAGCTCAACGTCTGTAGAGATTCTCAGTCATCCAGGTCAATGGTTGAAACTGAAAAAGCACCTTTGGGACAACCCTGACCTGGATGACTGAGAATCTCTACAGACGTTGAGCTATGCAATTTGGGATGAACACCCTTGGAATGGTGTGGGACTAGGAATGGATTTCCAGAGGGGAAAAAAATGGCAGAGTACAGGAACCAGGAGCACTAACTCAGGTGTCCCTGAGCAGTGGTGAAATTCTGTTTACTACCCGTTCTGTGGGTGTGGCTTGGTGGGCATGGCAGGGGAAGGATACCGCAAAATCTCCATTCCCTCCCCACTCCTGGGGGAAGGATATTGCAAAAGCTCCATTCCCTCCCCACTCCTGGGGGAAGGATACCGCAAAATCTCCATTCCCTCCCCACTCCTGGGGAAGGATATTGCAAAAGCTCCATTCCCTCCCCACTCCTGGGGAAGGATATTGCAAAAGCTCCATTCCCTCCCCACTCATGGGGGAAGGATACCGCAAAATCTCCATTCCCTCCCCACTCCTGGGGGAAGGATATTGCAAAAGCTCCATTCCCTCCCCACTCCTGGGGGAAGGATATTGCAAAAGCTCCATTCCCTCCCCACTCCTGGGGGAAGGATATTGCAAAAGCTCCATTCCCTCCCCACTCCTGGGGGAAGGATACCGCAAAATCTCCATTCCCTCCCCACTCCTGGGGGAAGGATATTGCAAAAGCTCCATTCCCTCCCCACTCCTGGGGGAAGGATACCGCAAAATCTCCATTCCCTCCCCACTCCTGGGGAAGGATATTGCAAAAGCTCCATTCCCTCCCCACTCCTGGGGGAAGGATATTGCAAAAGCTCCATTCCCTCCCCACTCCTGGGGGAAGGATATTGCAAAATCCCCATTCCCTCCCCACTCCTGGGGGAAGGATATTGCAAAATCCCATTCCCTCCCCACTCCTGGGAAAGGATACTGCATAATCTCCATTCCCTCCCCACTCCTGGGGGGAAGGATACTGCAAAATCTCCATTCCCACCCCACTCCTGGGGAAGGATACTGCAAAATCCCCATTCCCCCACTCCTTGGGGAAGGATACTGCAAAATCCCCATTCCCTCCCCACTCCTGGGGAAGGATACTGCAAAATCCCCATCCCTCCCCACTCCTGGGAAGGATACTGCATAATCTCCATTCCCTCCCCACTCCTGGGGGAAGGATACTGCAAAATCTCCATTCCCACCCCACTCCTGGGGAAGGATACTGCAAAATCCCCATTCCCTCCCCACTCCTGGGGAAGGATACTGCAAAATCTCCATTCCCACCCCATTCCTGGGGAAAGGATACTGCAAAATCCCCATTCCCTCCCCACTCTGGGGCCAGCCAGAGGTGGTATTTGCCGGTTCTCCGAACTGCTCAAAATTTCTGCTACCGGTTCTCCAGAACCTGTCAGAACCTGCTGGATTTCACCCCTGTCCCTGAGGACACAGATAAACCTCCAAGGGGCTTCAAGGACCCTCTAAAAGGATGCAAATGACCAGCTGTCTGCAAGGAAAATAAATCCTTCCATTCCCCACTATCCTGTCAGAGCTGAAGAAGCTGCTTGGATGAGAAGTGAAATGTCTTCAAAGAAAAAAAACCCAAGAAAGTCCAGTTGCCTCCTGAAAAGGCACCTTTGGGACAACCATGACCTGGATGGCTGAGAATCTCTCTGCAGTTCCCCTGCTGTTTCACACAAGAGACAAGGCTGTTTCTTGTTTTTCTGCCATGTATTTAGGACAAAGTTCGTTAATTGAGCTTTTTTTCAAGAGATATGGAAGCTCCTGTTCCATTGCCAGGGTCGGAAGCAATTAGAAGTGAGGGTGATGGTAGGGAGAAAGAGGCCAACCTATCCCTTGCCAAATATTATGGGCTGTTTCTGCAGAAGCCCCTGCAAATCCAGAATTGCAGAGGTCAGGGCATGTCCTTCTGTGTCTTTTTCAAGATCCTTGGATTTAATCTGAATTGTGCTTCCAAAAGATTCTAAAGCACGTAAATCACTTTTGACCCTATGATCAGAACTCGGGAAACTGGGAGTAGGTGGGTGTACTTTGAACCGATTACAAAACGACGTGATTTTTCTATCTTCACTAGAAAGCAATTTTTTGGAAAAAAAAAAAAAAAAAAGAACCACAATTCAGAAAGGGAGGCAGCCTTTGGGGAAGGACCCAAAACCTTTTTCACTTTCAACTCTTATCACCTGGATCAGAGGTCTTCAAACTTGGCAGCTTTAAGACTTGTGGACTTCAACTCCCAGAATTCTCCAGCTGGCTGGAGAATTCTGGGAGTTGAAGTCCACAAGTCTTAAAGCTGCCAAGTTTGAAGACCTCTGACCTGGATCATACAGGTAGCACCTTAAACCCTTTCCTAGCTTCAGATGAAGGTCTGAAACATTTGTTTCCCTGCCCCAACAGCAGGTGCAGTAGATGGCCAGGTTGATCTTACCTTATCAACTTCAGTCTCGTTAATCATCTACCTGCCTCTCATTTCCGGACAAGCCGTTTCCTGCTTTGAATCAGAAACCGCTTGCAGTGAAAGGCTGCAATCCAGAGAACACAGTTTGACACCCAGGGCGGGCTGCTTCGCCCCTTCCCTTAGGCGAACCCTCCTCAAGGTGACGTAACCAACTTTGCATTCTTCCATGAGAAAAAAAAACTTCAGCTAGTGGGAAAGCTTGACGGGGAAGGATTGTTAGCAGATCTGCAGCCCTCCTGCGGCTGCTTCGTTTCCCTGGCCTGTCCCAGATTTAGCAAAAGTTGAGAGCTTCCCTAAAGCAATGGAAGAGCTCCACCCTCCATTGAGACCTTCAACCATCCCTCCGACTGGGCGTGCCTTTGCTTTGGGACGATGCCTAGATTAACACCGTACCACACCCATCGGCTTCTCAAGACGCTTCGCTGAGTCTCTAATCTTTCCTGTGGGCTCTTCGCCCTGCTGGCATCGGGGTCACCATGCTAGCTCTTAAATTCAATGGCCGCTCCCTGATTTCTCCGCTGGGAATCGTTCGCTTGCTGGAGATATTCTTCTCCTGCACTGCTTTCAGCTTAGCAGCCACCTATAAAGATTACGGCGGAAACTATGGGTCTTGGTCGATGTTTACTTGGTGCTTCTGCTTCATTGTTTCTGTCTTTGTGGTGATTATGGAGCTGATCAGCCTGGACGCGGCCCTGCCTGTTTCCTGGCAGGACTTCACCTCTGCCTTCTCCATGCTGGCCACTCTGATGATCTTCACGACTTCCGTGGTCTACCCAGCAACCTTCATACCTTCCTGCCAGAGGTACCACTGTGGTTATCAGATTGGGGCTACCATCATGTCTTGCCTCTGCTTCATCGCCTACGCAGTGGAAGTAGGACTCACCAGGGCCAAAGCAGGGGAGCTCAGCAACTTCCTGACCACCATCCCTGGCCTCCTGAAGGTATTTGAGGCCTACGTAGCTTGTCTCATCTTCTCCTTGCTGGGCATTTCCGATTACAAGAAATTTCCTGGTCTGGAATGGTGTGTGGCCGTCTACTGCATCTGCTTCATTCTGACCATGGTGATCATCATTCTGACCATTGGACGCTGCCTTGGTTCCTTGCCCATCCCTGTGGAGAAGACTCTCATTGCCTACAACATCTTGGCTGTTCTCATGTATCTTACTGTAGTAGTCGTATGGCCTCTATACAGCTTTCGGGACAATCCAAGACCTCGGTGTAATATTTCTCCTGGCCGCTGTGTCGTGTGGGACAATGACCTGGGAATTACGTTCCTCTCCTTCTTCAACCTCATCGCCTACATCGTGGACTTCGCCTATTCTTACAAAATGGTTTTTGTGACCACACCGGCATAGATGGCTCTTGTACCCATCTCACCCACACACACATGCATGTGTGGTCACCACCTTGGCTTATGCTGCTGGACATGCTGAGATCCAAGAAGCATGGCTCCAGGAGTAGCAGAGGTTATAGTTATCTGAGGTGATGGAGGTGATGGCGGTGATGGTACTTCAAATCTTATAATTACGTGATTTAAATTTTGGCCTGTTTTATTTTATACTTGCGGTTATGTTGGATGGACCGATCTCATTTCCTCAAAGAGTTGAGTTGACCCTATCTTCATTCACTACAAGACCTCTGTGAATTATACCCTGGTTAGATGTGAGCCCTTCAGGTGTGACTAGAAGTTCGATCCAGGGCCTAAAAATGAATTTGGAGAAATCAGCGTGCTATAGTCTTTCCAGCTTCTGTTTTGAAACTCTAGTTGTGAGAAGCGAGAAGATTATGAGCAAAGAAGGAAAATCAGGAGTGGGGAGGAAGCTGAGTCCTCCACAGAAAGAAGACACTGAGCCGAGGACACAAATTTTTTCCTCAGATGTGTCCTACAGGAATGTTTTCTTTGCCTTTCAGCAGAATATCTTATACAAGTTAGATGAAATATGAGATATCACTGCAGAATATGGAGGGGGGGGTTATATTGCTGTACAAAGCAGCCAGCTAAAACATGGCTTGTTGGATTGTGGATTGTTGAATAAACCACAATTGGCAATAAAAAGGGAAAGGCTCCATCAAGTTGAACTTGGATACTTCTAGGTGGTTTTCTTGGTAATTGTGTGAGTTAATTTCGGGTGATGTCCTGCCTAAGTATTAGCCCAATCTGGTCGTGCATGAAGACCTGTCCTATGGACTACTCCTGATAGGCAGACACAAAGGTGAAGGTAGGATCTCAGTCAAATTCAACTCCCGGTGGCTTTATGAACATGGTCGTGTTTTGCGGGCAACAATATGGAGGTGGCTTGCCCTTGTCTTACAGTATGGGTGTCAAATTTGCCGCATCACGTTGATGTCGTGTGACGTATTGCGAAGTTTTTTTGCCTTTGCAGAGCTGGGGTGGGTGTGGCCTATGTGTGACACATCGGGCCCGCGTGTTGCCAGTTTGACACCCCTGATTTACACGATGGATTTGGGGATTGTTTTTCTTTATAGTTTAGACCAGGAGTCTCCAACCTTGGCAACTTTAAGCCTGGCGGACTTCAACTCACAGAGTTGAAGTCCGCCAGGCTTAAAGTTGCCAAGGTTGGAGATCCTCTGGTTTAGACTACATCTGTGGGATATCTTCCTAGTCCTCCATCTAAGACTAGGCAATGTGGAGGAGTAGACAGATGACTTTGCAGAAGATAATGTGGAGATTGTTAGAACAATATGATCTTAAACCAGGGGTGAAATCCAACAGGTTCCAACAGGTTCTGGAGAACTGGTAGTGGAAATTTTGAGTAGTTCAGAGTGGGATGGGAATGGGTGAGATGGGAATGGAGATTTTGCAATATCCTTCCCCCAGGAATGGGGAGGGAATGGGGATTTTGCAATATCCTTCCCCTGCCACGCCTACCAAGCCACACCATGCCCACCAAGCCACGTCCACAGAACCGGTAGTAAAAAAAAATTGGATTTCACCACTGTCTTAAACTATTAAGTGACATCACTTAATAGTTCATCACTTGAGACTTTCAAGAAAAGTTTGGACTGCCATTTGTCAGAAATGGTGTAGGGTCTCCTGCTTGAGCGGTGTGGGGGGGGTTGGACTAGATGACCTATAAGGTCCCTTCCAACTCTGTTAATCTATTAAAAGCTCAGTTTGAGCAAACAGGAAAGTATGAGAAAGTTACTTTCTTCAGGATGGCCAAGTCAGGAAATGAACACCGGAAGAAATAGTAGAATTTTACTTTTATTGACGAAGTCTTTTGAAAGATAGTATTTTCCCTTCCCTCACTCTTAGAAAGCAAAAGTAGAGCAGTCTTAAAACCCTTTCTCAATATCCCCAGACTGAGCTCACGTTTTACTAAAATATGTCTCCATAATCTCTGTACTCCTCTACACCACTAGCCAAGTTTCCTTGAGATCATCAATCAAGGTTGAATGCAAACATCCGGTGGATCCAATTCACGCTATAAGCTAAGCCAAAGTCCTCGGTATACAAACTGAGGGCAGAGTTCATACAACATGCTAAACTGAAATGCAACATAAAAATGAATGTCACATGCATTCAGAAGACCAGCCTACCATACATAAGTACTTATATCTATACTTACCTATACTAAAGGTAAAGGATCCCCTCGCACATATATGCCAGTCGTTCCCGCTGTCCGAAGACGTCTCTGTGGTCACGTGGCCAGCATGACTCAACCCCAAAGGCGCACGGAACACTGTTCCCTTCCCACCAAAAGTGGTCCCTATTTTTCTACTTGCATTTTTTATTACGTGCTTTCGAACTGCTAGGTTGGCAGAAGCTGGGACAAGGAATGGGAGCTCACCCCATTAGGCGGCACTCGAGATTCGAACTGCTGAACTGCTGACCTTTCGATCAAGCTCAGCGTCTTAGCCACTGAGCCACCACATCCTTTATTAAGTTTGTAATAAAGATAATAAAACACCAATAGGCACTAATACCATCCTGGCCTTGGATGATCTCAACCTCAGCTTGTTAGTAACTTAGCCGCCCTGAGTCTTCGGAGAGGGGCGGCATATAAATTTAATTAATTAAACTTTGTGGTAGACCACTGGAAAGTCCCAAGGCAATAGACCAGGGGTGTCAAACTCACATCATCATGGTGGTGTCACATGATGTATCAGGACTCCCCCCCCCCTTCTCTAAACAGGGCATGGGCATGGCCAGTGTGTGATGCAGGGATGAAATCCAGCAGGTTCTGACAGGTTCTGGAGAACCGGTAGTGGAAATTTTGAGCAGTTCGGAGAACCAGCAAATACCACCTCTGGCTGGCCCCAGAGTGGGGTGGGAATGGAGATTTTGCAATATCCTTCTCCCAGTAGTGGGGAGGGAATGGGGATTTTGGAGCATCTTTCCCCTAGAGTGGGGTGGGAATGGAAATTTTGCAATATGCTTCCCCCAGTAGTGGGGAGGGAATGGGGATTTTGGAGCATCCTTCCCCTGCCATGCCCACCAAGCCACGCCCATCAAGCCATACCCATGCCCACCAAGGCACCTCCACAGAACCAGTAGTAAAAAAATTTAGATTTCACCACTGGTGTGATGCATCTGGCCCGTAGCCCGGGAGTTTAACAGCCCTGCAGTAGACAAAGCTGGGAAGTCACAAAACATCCCAGAAGAAGACAAGGCCAAATCACAACTGTTGCATTGTCAAGAAAACAACATGTGCATGAAGTTGTCAAGAACATAGCTTTAAATCCATGGAGACTTACTTTATATTAGTTGTACTGAGCTTGCAACTAATTTAGGATCTCAGATAAGCAGCAGATGAAGGAATTATGCATATAGCCATACATTATGGACTCATATATGTATGTATTATGGAGTGGTTTAATTCTTGAATATTTAGATCTTTTCAGTTGCACTAATAAGCAATAAAGTGGCTGGATTTTCAGCATAGTTGAAAGCTAACAGCCCTTTTCCCAGTCAATCAAACTTCTTTATAGACCAGAAGTGTCCAACCTTCAACTCCCATGCTGGATGGGGAATTCTGGGAGTTGAAGTCCACAAGTCTTCAAGTTGCCAAGGTCGGACATTTCTCTCATAGATTTCTAACGCATACAGTAAACATATATATAGGTGTAACACTCTTCACACGAATCGTTGGGATGGGTGATGAACGGATTGAGTCTGATTGACAGTGCCTGGCCTATTTTAACCAGAGTTTATTGAATGAACCACTTGATTCAGTTCATACCAGAGGTGGGTTTCAGCAGGTTATGACCAGTTCTGGAGAACTGGTAGTGGAAATTTTGAGTAGTTCGGAGAACCGGTAAATGCCACCTCTGACTGGCCCCGCCCACATCTATTCTCTGCCTCCCAAGTCCCAGCTGATTGGGAGGAAATGGGGATTTTGCAGTAACCTTCCCCTGGATTGGGGAGGGAATGGAGATTTTGCAGTATCCTTCCTCCGGAGTGGGGCGAGAATGGAGATTTTACAGTATCCTTCCCCTGCCATTCCCACCAAGCCACGCCCATCAAGCCATGCCATGCCCACCAAGCCACACCCACAGAACCGATAGTAAAAAATTTTGAAACCCATCACTGGTTCATACCGCATGCTAAACCAAAGATAGCATTAGCACGATAGGTGAACCTGGCTAGTAGCTTTTTCTAAGATCACTAAGCATGCTTGCCAAACCCAAAGTGCTGATCCCATACCACAAAAAAATAAAAGATTTTATTGAATAGTCAAGGACAAACATTTTTGATCTGCAAAGTAATTTGTTTCTGCCATTCAATATACCCTGTCGTCAATTTTCCTCTCTTCACAATTTCTCTTGGAAACTATTTCATTCCAATGCAAGAAAATATCTGTTAACTCAGGCCTGAAAATTGATGATTTTACCTAGTTGGGTCATGAAACATCTGCAAGCAAGCAACCAACCTCAAAGTGCACCAAAGACTCCACCGCTGCAGGCAGTCCTCAACTTAACAACCATTGAGTTAGTGACTGTACAATAGCACTGAAAAATAGTGACACTCGGGCCTCGCACTTATGGCCATTATAGCATTTCCCCCCACAGTCATGTGATCGATATTCAGGTACATAAATAGCATGTATTTATGACGGTTGCAGCAACCCAGATCATGTGATCTATTTGCGACTTTCTGAGCCAGCTGCTGACATCTCGATAAGCAAATCCGGGGAGCTGGATTTGCTTAATGACTGCATAATTTCACTTTAAACTAAAACGATTCACTTAACAACCATGGCCAAAAAACAAAAGGGTGATAAAATTGGGCGTGACTCCCTTAACAACCAACTTGCTTAGCAATGGAAATTCTGGTCCCCATTGTCATAAGTCAAGGAGTGGTGCAGTGGCCTAGAGCGGGAGCTCTTGCCTCACAATCAGGAAGCTGTGAGTTCGATCCTAGGTAGAGGCAGATATTTCTCTCTCTGGGCACAATGAGAATATATCTGCTGAACAAAACTCCGTATTGGCGACAGGAAAGGCATCTGGCCAGGAAACACCATTCAGTTGCCCAGACTCCACCCCACAAGGGATTATGGGGTCGTTAAAAGAAGATGATTGTCATAAGTCAAGGACTACCTGTATTTCATTATTCTTTCTTGACCATCTGACCACTGATTAATTTGGCCCAATATCAACCACTTGGTTCTCTTAGTAAGTACGCGATCCCTGGTTGCCTATGATTGTTAAGCCTGATATGGGTGATCCATGCTCTACCACCTTTTAGAAATGGTATATTCATGATGTCAAGATATTGTAATGCTGAAGGAAAGGACTTAAGCATTGCACCAGTTCCAGGTTTCACTTGAGAAATGGCAATCTAAGTATGTGGTTTGATCAGCAGCCAAGGAATGTCCCTTATTGCAAATATACTGGTGAATAATCTGGGTCTAGTTACAACATTCCAGCAGTCCGGCCAAGTTGATAAGAGTTTGTGATTGGTTGTAACTCCCGTGCCAGCCCAGAACTGTTGCAATCATAGCTATTGAATGATGAATTGTATGAACAGCATGACCTATTTACATTAAGGTAGTCCTCATTTAACGGTGGCCGTTGGGACAGGCCACTCCATCACTAAGCAAGGCAGTTCCATTATA